CTTCAATTTTTTCAAAAATAAAAAAATAAAAAAATAATTTTTTTAACTTTTTTACTAAAAAATTTAATTTAATTAAAAAATAAAATATTTGTAGTGCTTACCTCTGCGAGTCTTAATAAAAAAACATAATTACGATATCTCCATTATTTCAGGAGATATCGCAATGAGTAAATCCTCACGGGACACCCTGTATATTGTTATATTTTATATATACGCAATGGCATTTTAAAATGTAATTTTTTTGGGAAAAAATGAATTTAACCAACTATAGTTTAATACTAATGCCTAATACTAAAATTAATTACTATATTCTCAATTATATCATCATATATTACACTTAGTAAGATATTATAGACTGACAACTGACTGACCGTCTTCGCTCAGAATCGTTTTTCTTATACAATGATATTATATCATTGGATTCAAATTTAACACAATCCATTACAGTGACTCACTTGTAACCTACTGTACAGCAGAGCGACATCCACTTACCCGCCCTTTTTGTGGGTGGTATTTAAAAAAAATTGATAGAAAATGTGTTTTTTAAATAATATTTATTTGGTTTATTCAAGCATATTTTTATTGCATATTTTTGCATATTTTTAATAAACCAAATGCATATTTAATAATTTTTTATTGCAAATAAATCCTAGCCCTATTTATAATCATCACAACGATCTGTCCCTCGTCATGTAAATTTATTAAAAAAATGATTTGTATTTTATAGTGTTGTTAAGAAACACTTTTAATATATAGGTTATAGGTACTTACAAAATAATAATAAATATAAATATGTTATAATACTATTTGCCCCCTATTCTGAAATACTGCGCATGGGCCTGATTCGCAAACCTTTCCAAAAATTGGATTATCGTTAACACGATAATACGAAATAACGAACACAGATAATGTTCTTAAAATCTTACGATAAGTTTCATAATAGGTTGATTCGTTATAATTTTTGAACTAATCACACTAATGTCTAATCAGACTAATACCGTGAAATTATTTGAGAGGGCTGCGGATAAAGATTAAGGCGCTCTGCAACAGCGGCAGTCGGGGATAGAAGATGACGAGTCAACGAAAGTGTTATTAAAAAGTACTCACTAGTCACTAGGTAGTAGGTACTCGTACTAGTCGTACTGCACTTGCCACTTGCGCTACTTGCCTACTTCGGACCAGTGACTACCTACTACAACTTACAATAAGCGTATACAACATAGCTGAATTCGAATTAAATAACTGTTCAATAACTTAGTTCAATTTAGATATTATTTAGTTTGCATATAGTTATTGCTTATTTAGGTACCTGCTGTTTATTATTTGGAAGTAGCAACTGTTATAAACTAGATAATAATATGGAACATTCAGAATTTGTACTTAAACTTCAAATGGGTCCTTATCTAGGTATAATTGTAGGGAAAGTCTAGGGAAACCTAGTATGGGTAGTCCATATAAGGTTGACATTTTAATGAATGATGATTGTATTACAAAATATTCTAGATGCTCTTGCCTTCTAGAGACTCATTATAATCTAAGTTCAACTGATAAACCTTGTTTGTTCAGTGTTAGAAAAAATAATTTGTCTACAGAAATTAAAATCATTAATCAAATACATGGATAGTAATGATTTTCCAAACGCCATTGTTTCAGAAACAGATATAAATATTTTTAAGGAGGAATCATCTAATTTACTATTTAGCAGAACCTGTAGGTTTTCCTTGGTTGTTACAACCTGAAACAGAACCATTTGAAAATAATGTGATATTAGTTGAGACTATTTGTAATATGGTTCTTGATCCAGAAATTAGAAGTTTAGTTAAAATATTTTATATTTTTATTTCTCTTAAAAAGTTGTTATACACTAAACTCCATATTAATGACAGTACCAAGGTGGATTGATCAATCCACCTTGGCCAGTACTATATTACAGTTGGTTAAAGACACTACAGGACGGCAAAAAAAATCTTTTATGGTTTCATTATAGTGATTATAGGCAACATAGATTGACAGCTAGTAATTTTGGAAAAGTGATAGCTGCTTGTAAAAGAAATAAGTTCCCAAAGTCATTATTTAAACAATGGAAAATATTAAATAATAATAACATTACAGGTGTGCATGCTGTACAATGGGGTAATACCAATGATGTTTGTGGTATTAAGGCCCCAGTAAAATACCAAAATGTAAATGTAATACCAACTGGGCTGTTGTTATAAAATAGTGGATTGTTAGGTGCTAGTGGCGTGCTACACCAGATGGACTTGTTAATTCAAGTCATATTCTAGAAGTTAAATGTTCGTGGAAGTATAGGAATGAAGTTCTTGAAGTTGAAATTACAAAAAATCATGATTATATTTTATATGAGGAAAATAATTAATTATTTGTAAATAAAACACATTCATATTGGGACCAGATTCAAAACCAACTATAAAAATTGTCAATTATGTTATTTGGTTATTTGGACTCCTAAACAGGCATTAATAACAGAAATCAAAAAATATGTTAAATGGATAGACAATTTAGAAAATCTGGAAACATTTTTTTTATTGAAAAACATTAATCAATATAAACCTTTAGTTTGTTGGTATGTACTATGTATTTTTTTTAATATTGGTTAGAATTAAGAATACAAAATTAAGTTTGGCTGATGAGTGAAATTTTTTGGTTTTATATATTTATTCTAACTCTATTTTATAATTCATTAAACAAAAATTCCAGAGTTTATTGTTGATATTTATTACTATTGTCTATCACCTACTTAAGTAATGTACATGATTGAATATTAATGATATAAGTATATCAATGAATATAATTTAAAAACATACCTATAATAATATAAAAAGTATATTAAAAAAAATAAAAATTAACTATTATTATTTTTCTTTTATAATAGTTTACGCTAAAGTTCTTAATGATAGTGAAAAAAAAAACAAATTATTTATATTAAATAGAATAAATAAAAAGCAATTCTTAAGATAAATTTTTTTCTTTTCTTTAGGACTTTAGCCAAAGTTTATGAATCTAATTTGAGTTGTAAGTATAGCTTAAGCAGGCACGTAACCAGGGGGGCCTGGATGGGCCGGGCCCACCCTAAATATACTCTGGCCCAGGGCCCCCCAAATTCAAAATATAACTATTTTTACTAATTATCAAAAATGTGATTATGCACATTGAGAAAAATCTACTGTGATTACTACTAGGTAATACAATTATTATTGTAATAACTTAATTTTTATATTCGCGGAACCGTGGATAACTTTCTCTAAAAAAAATATAATATAATAGGGTCTTGATACCTGTTTTATAAACAATAATAGACTAGCTTCAATATTTATATAAGTAGGTATAAGTGTATTATTAATGTTTTCTACTAGTATGTGTTTTTTTTAAAAATAAATTTGAGTTTCTTTAAAAATTATATTAATTTAAAAACCAATGATCATTTATTGATTTATCCCTATTATTTTTGATAAGTATTCAAATATAAATTAATTTTTGTTAATAGAAGTTGAACAATTGAAGCAGCTTATTATTTTAAATATGTATGTAGATTTATTTTTCATAGCATGAAAAATGTATCCCATAAGTGAAGATGAAGGTAATTCTATATTTATTTTTTTTATTATCAGGTAGGTAGGTACCTACTTTCTATTTTTTTAATTCTTAAATAGGTAAGTAATAGGTATAACTTGTTGTGAAAAAAAAAAATTTTAACCAATTAAGTACCAACAAAAGGTAAATTATTTAAATTAACAAGATTCTTTGTATTGAATACCCCCTACAAGAATTTCATAAAGACAAATTATGAATAATAATAAAAGGGCCAAACATTATTGGCCCATCTAGTAGACATTTTCTGGCTACGTGCCTGAGCTTAAACAATACCTACTTATTCTTAAGCATCGACTATGATGACTACTTTTTATTTTTATTTTTAAATATTATGTTTAGTTTTTAAAAGAATGAGCATGTCTTTAACTATTTTACATTGAAAAAAATGACTGTTGGAACTTATAATTATTATTCCATTGACAATATTTTGATTTAATGTTTATTAGATTTTTGTGTTGGCGGAGTTTTTCAGAAGTTGTTATTATTATTAATTATGAATGGTTTAGTACTTTAATTGTAACATGTTTTTTTGTCTTTCAAAAATGTAAAATATTATATTAACACTAGTAATAAATTAGTAGATACCTCAAAATAATAAATATTAAATTATAATTAGGTATGAGTTGATAAATATAATTATGAATGGTATAAAAAATGGTTAGCCTGGTTAGGTACCTATATACAATTATATTACACACAAAATATAATTATAACTGTAGTTTTTTAGAATAACTTTTTTCTTATTTTATCGTTGATATTTTTTCCCTTAATTGTTTTTTTTTTTTAGAATAATTATTTTTTAGTATCTGTGTTCTAGTTACTATAACTATATTAGCAGCTGACATTAATTTAAAAACAGAAATACGTAAAAAAATTATATTTTGTACCCACGCATTTTAATTAACAACTAAAATATGTTAATAAGTATACTTCTGGAAATATATTTTCTAATATATAATTTTCAGTTAAAATATTTCCTTGGAAAATATTTTATGCAAACATTTGTTATGCATCATAACGTTCTGTAAATTTGTGTTCTGTTATATTCCATTCTGCGCCGGTATTCTGTAAAAAAGTATAAACAATTAGATACAAGGCTACAAGCTTGTATCTGTAGTCAATAATAGTATTCAAAAGCATTCTGTAATAATGGGATACAAACTGGTTACTATTTTGTATTCTTGTATCATTTACTGGGAGTTTATAGATATAATGTATCTTTTACTAGGAGTTTATAGAATTAATTGTGGTTGATAAGAAAAATTTTTGAATATTGATAAGTGATAAGCTGATATTTAAAAACTTTTCTGTTGTTTTCTTCACAAATTTACAAAATGATTAAATAAATAAACATTTTATTGTTTTAGACCACACATATATAATATATATTATTTTAACCTTATCTCCACTGCTTTTCTCTCAGCATCATTTTGTGGAAATCTGACCCAATCACTTAAACAAACTTCATACAAGGATGTAGCTACCCTTGTTATACAACGGCTAACAGATGGTTGACTTATACTACCTAAGTAATCTTGGCCGACACATCTTTGAAAAGATCCAAAAGCAAAAAACCTAATTGCTACTAATACCTAAAAGATAATATTACGCACACAATTAGAATATACATGATTATACATAATATTATGTATATTATAATAATTTATAAATTTTCTATATTTTATACGAACTTGCAGTTGTAACGACAATCCATTTTTACGTTTTCTTTGCAGTCGTTGTACATTGGATAACTTGTCAATAATGTATAAAGCCAAATTTTTTGAGATTCTAAATAATTTTGTAAAATCGTATTCACGTAAATCAAACGGATTGTATATGTCTCTAAGTCTTCGACGTTGGATTTTTAATGCATAAATGGCTTGATGTTGTTCTAATTCATTTAAAACCAATATATGTGCCACAAAAGCCATCATAAGATAAAAATAATATAACAAAATAAGTCACAACACGAACAATATCACTTCTAAAAATGACTTAATTAATACAAAAATCATCAATCAATTTTAATAAAAATCTTTATCTGTATCCAAAAAACAATGATACAAAATATTTGTAACCATACCATTGAGTGAGCTACAAATAAAGATACACTGTTGTAGCCTTTGTATCTTAAAAATAGTTACAGAATACCCATCGGTTACAACGAGGGTTACAAGTATTTTGTATCCAAAATAGTAGATACAACTTTGGCTACAAAAGTTACAGAATACCGGCGCTGGAATAATACACTCAGCAGAATTTCTGCAATATTATTTTCTGTATGTTTACATTCTACTGATATATATTCTTATCAGTTTACATTCTGTAATATTTATTTTCGTTCATATTATTTTCTGTTCAAATATTTTCTGGGCTTTTTATATTCTGGTTTTTTTCAATTCTGTAATATTATTTTCTGTAAATAAACATTCGACAAATCTACATTCTGGCCTTTTTTTTTCTGGAACATTATATGCGACAGAAAGTATTATAGTCATTAGTATTCTTGTCTATGATTATAGTGTACGCGTTTTCGGTTGAATTATATTATTAATTTTTCACCTATTTGAATCGGAGAATTATTATTATTATTTTCTATATAATTATTTCTTCATACCGCAACGCCGCCGAAGCCATATCTCACCCAAGCACGAACATATTATTTTCCTAGTCGTTGACTCGACGACTCTTGGTCTGCGGTCGCTGTGTCACTCGACCGGGTTTGTCACTCGCCGAATACGCTCACCGCTGAATACACCATCCGCATCACCCCGAGAATCTTCGGTTCAAGGTGTACGCCATATCGGCCATTATACCGTGCACCACCCTCTATAGTACGCACACAGACACTCAAAGAAGTAAGAATTTTGCAGAAAATTATTCTATACAGATGTGTCCTTTGTACCTCTTAAAAAAACTTTCAAAGGCATTGGTAAGATTTACTGAACGCCTCAGTTCTTCCTGTAATACGTTTTCTTTCGTTTTTTTGCCCCCATGTGACCACCTTATATTACATTTTTCTTTTATGTGTCTCTATAAATACTCAATTGTTTGTGTCTGTATGTGTATTTATGAAGTTTATGCAACCTACCTATCGTCATTATTTATTAGTTTGTCGATGAAAAAAATTGTATGCACGAGGCCCTCCACCACCTACCTGAATTTTATAATTTTGTTGTGCCATTAATTACTGATTAGAGATCAATTCCTGTGAATTCCTGACTGGCTTTTTATAATTCCTTCTCTACCCGTTTTTCCAGAAAATAGGACTTTCTACGCAACTTTAGTCACATTACCCTTGCCACAATTGGTGAAACTTTGACTTTCCGGAAAAATGATTAGAGAATAAAACATGTAACCAAAATTCATAAAAAAAATTTATATCAATGCTATGGAATATAATCTCGTGTCTAGTCTTCATAAGTAATTAGTACCATCCTTTGTGTCGTTATACTATCCCCGGAACATCTCTATTATGAATCTAATTTACCTATTACCATTTAGAATCACCGTGGTAAAAAGCCCTGTAAAAATATTTGTGTCAATAATTAATAAAACTTTAATGACACATCTAGCATTAGGTATATCTACATACATAAATAACTACATTTTACTACATTTTACGAATGGATAGGTACATATAATTTACTATCTAATATTCTAATGGACATCATTAATTCCATATTATTTATTTCAACAATTTTTTATATTTAATAAATTTACCTAATAAGTTAATAATTTCTTAACTTCAGTATTATGATGATTTTCACACCTTCTACTGGTACTTAAATTTAGCACAGTGATAATATTAAAATTGAACAAAATTTTAAAAATATTTCCAAAGGTGTTATGTCAGTAAAAATAATGGATGCCTTACAGACTACATTTTGTGAAAGTGATCCAAAAAAAGTTCTGATATCCAAAAAATGTGAACCAACAAATTTTAGAAACAACTCTCATTTTTTCTCAATACTGGAAAACTTACAATCCCAACGCAAGTATGTTGATGTCGATTTTACCTTCATTCAATATAAATATCAGTAACACATTTTTGTTTTTAGAAATGAAGTTTTATGTGATGTTAGATTTGAAGCAGACGATGGTAAATTAGTAGTTGGGCATAAAAATATTTTAATAGCAGCTAGTCCATATTTTTGTGCAATGTTTAGCAATTTTGATGAAAGCAAGAAAGATATTGTCAAAATAAGAGAGTTAGACTCAACTATCTTACAGCAATTAGTAGATTACATATATACGGGTGAACTCATGATAACAGAAGAAAATGTACAAGTATGAATAAATATTTGATTTGTTATAAGCTTATAAACTTTCCGAAACTTTCTTTAAAATGGTTTTAAAATTGTATTGATTTCTGAAGGGTCTATTACCAGCTTCAAATATTTTTCTGTTAGACTATGTCAAAGATGCATGTGCCAAGTTTTTAGTAGCACAACTGGATTCATCAAATTGTCTTAGAATCAAAGAATTTGCTGATTTGCATAACTGTATGGAATTATTATCGAGTTCTGAAGATTTTATTAAAAAACAGTTTATGTAGGATATGAATTACAATTCAATTATCTTTTTCGATTAGTGTATTAATTATTATTTATGTTTTTAGAGAAGTGGTTAAATGTGATGATTTCCTATCTTTATCTTACGAAGCAGTGGTAAAGCTAATATCCTCAAATGACCTCACTGTTCCATTTGAAGAAAAAGTAAGCAAACTAATTGATAATTGTTATAATTAATTTTGTGAATGGTAGATCAATTTACTTAACAAATACATTTAATATTATATTATAATTTTGTATATTGTATAGAGGGACTTGAGGGAGTATTTTGGAATCATATGTATCTATAATGCATATGATCACGTGAGTTGTGTTGAGCATTAGGTATTAAATCTCTACAAACTGCTTAGGTATTATATTAAATTTTTATATTTCTTAATAAGTCGCAATAGTTTACAGGCTGCGAGACTGTAGCTATGAATCATGATAATTACAACCATGTAAATCTTAGCGGCATTGTAGAGATTTGTTACTATATCTTGGGCAGTTGTCGGAATAATAAGTTGATACTTGGCATTACAAACTTAATAAAATTAATTGTCATAGTCTTGCAAAGCGGTCCACAACACCTGTGGTCAATCTTATATTAGACAGAGTATTCTTTTATCAATCATTTGAAATATTTTTAATACTTACATCGGTAAGGAAATAATCATATTTTAAATTTTATTTAAATTCTTTAAAATGTAGGTAATGTACATTTATTGGTTTGCTATGAAATGACAGAGACCAAAAGCTAATATACAACTTCTCTAATACAAAGATAATAATTATGTGATTATCTGCTTTTGTAATGACAAAATTCTTTGAATTTGTAAAAATATTCTTTGTATGGTATAACAAATACACATTGTCATATTATGATAATTACAGCAATAGTAGTTAGAAACTCAAATATCAAACACAATTAAATGGATTAATAATAATAATAATAATATTTGAATTTAATATTGTATTTCTTTGTTGTTGTAGGTATATGAATGTATTATAAATTGGATAAATCATGAATTGGATTGTAGAATAGAATTTTTGCCTGGATTAATGGAACATGTGCGTTTGCCTTTAGCTTCAATAGAATACATATTAAAAAAAGTAGTTGATGAACCCCTCATTAAAAATAATTCTAAATGTATGTGTTTCTGCAGAAATATTCCTCTATTATGAATTCATATTGTATATTATTATAATATTTTTTAGGTATGAGTTATGTAGTCGAAGCTTTACAATTCCATTTACATAAAAAAGACCCACTTATCCCAATTCCACAAACAATTCGTTGTTCGTTAAGACAGCCTGCTGGTTTTCAAAAAGTATAGTTTTTTTATGTATTATTATTGATCTATATTAACAATTATTTTATCTTTTAACTATTTCAGGTTATTCTAGTTTTAAGTTGGAATTATACAATGGATAAGAGTTGTATAAACTTGTATGACACGACAACCAACAAATGGGAGATTGCACCAGAAATGACTAAGTGCCGTTACTCAGCTGGTTTATCAATAATAAAAAATCACTTTCTGTTTGCTGTGGGTGGTGTTAATGATTCAAGTTCAAGGGATTCTCAATCTGTTGAAATGCTTGATTTAACTTCGCAATCACCAATTTGGGTACCAACAGTCGACATGTTAGTTAGTCGAAGATATTTAGGAGTTGCTGAACTAGATGGTTGTATATATGCTGTGAGTTTTACCAATATATTTAATTTTTTTGTGTCATAAATATATATTTCATTAAATGCTAGGTTGGTGGAGAAGATGATAATGGTGCTGAATTAAATAGTGTGGAAGTTTTTGATATCAGTATTCAAAAATGGCGAATGGTTTCCAACATGACAACTAAAAGATATGATTTGGGTATGGGAGTACTCAGTAATCGTATATATGCGGTGAATAAATCTTTTAATTTTCTATCTTAAATTATCTGATTTTTATGATTTAAATTTATAACTAATCTAATTTAATTTCACTGTATAGATAGGAGGTTCGAATAGTTTCTGTTCTTTGAAATCTGTCGAATGTTATGATCCCTCAAATGATATATGGACAACAGTTACAGATATGTCTGTAGAACGTTCTTTTGTTGGTGTAGGAGTGTTGGATGGTGTAATCTACGCTATTGGTGGTAAAAATGGAACAGGAACTTCTCTCAAAAGTGTAGAGGCTTATAAACCAAGTGATGGTGTGTGGACTTCCATTGCTGACATGCACAAGTGTAGAGACTCCGCTGGTGAGTACTAATAATAATAATAATAATAATTTTTTTTTTACAAAGAAAATCTTTGTATGAAACTATTAAATTTTCAATAACATTTTTTAATATAGGTGTAGTTGCGTTTGATGGTTTACTGTATGTTATGGGTGGAGAAAATGATGGTTCGGTTTGTAAGTCCTTTGAAATTTACAATCCTGCCACTAATTCATGGAAAATTGAGAGTGTCAATTCAATAACTATTGGTAGTATGTATGCTGCAGTAGTCTTTAATAGGCTACCACATTTTAGATTTAATTAGGTGGTCTCAATGTTTTTTAATATTTACTTATTTATGTACCAAAATATCTATGTATGTTTTTCTAAATTGCATTTTAGATTTTGTGAATGTTTATTTAAAATATTTTTGATCTAATTAATAATATAATATACATAATTTTACCATCGTAGAATCAAATAAACCAGCTACAAAATTAATTATATTCTTATATTGTATAATTGCTGAGTGTCTTGTGTCTTTGTCAGTGAATTGTTAATGGAAGGAATAACCATTAATATAGTGGGTATTAAGTTATTTATTAATTTTCAGTGTATACAGTTTTATATTATATAAGTCATTTTTTTAAACTGCATTGCTAAATCTTTGATAGGAATGATGATTAAAATAGACAAAATAGATAAGTTTGACTACAATATATAGCTGGCCTCATTTAATGGCCATTAAACTACCCTGCAACTATTCATCAGTATCAATCTATTATAATATGAATTATGATATTATTCTATAAACAAATTCAATCAATTTGTAAATTATTTTTTATTAATTGCTTATGTTAAAAATATATAAGTTAAAAATTTTCATCATTTATTTAAAGGTGTATAAAATAATTTATTGGGGGACGAGGTGGCCGAGGGGTTTAAGGCATCGGTTGCAATGCTTCTGTCACCGGATCGATTCCCGGCCACTGGATGGCATTTTTGTTCGGGCAAGTAACTGTGTCCGGAGAACAAGTGCCGCCATCCCCCACCCGGGCATGGCAGATACCTACGGGTGCCCAAATCGAAAATTCTGCTAAAAACCCAACACATACTTGTTTCCCTCCTACCGACAATACAACGTTCAAAAAACCATACAGCTAATGCCCATAGTTGCCGGGCTTACAATTAAATTTAAAAAAAATTATTTATTATGTAAAATATTAATATTCATACATGATATATGAATAAAATGTTTACATTTTTGTCCACATAATGGAAGTTTGTAAGTTTCGGATTAAAGCCATAATTTTTATTTCACGTTATGTTGCTTGAAAATTATGTTTTAAAACTAACAAATGTTGTGCATTATTCAAATGCATATTTTAGTTTCTACAATTATAAATTTCAAAAGCGGGCTTTGATCTGACCTGCACCTGCATCTGACCTACAACGGACCTTATAAGTTGTTGGTGGAAATTAAAAAAAAAGTTGAGACTCAAAACCACAATAATTTTTTATGAGCGTCTGAAGTTAAAATGTTAACAAAATTCATCAAAATCGGCTATTATTTTGAGTTAGAAATTCATAAGAAATGTTCTATACATATCAAAAGTTTGAAATATTCATACACTATTCCCCATAAGTTTTTCTATATTTAACAATAAAAAATTTTTTACCGGAAATTCAAATTAATTTTTTATGAGCATTTGAAAACAGATGTTGGGTGATAACTCGTAAATAAAAAAATTCTAATATAAATTTTGAAATATCCATTGTATGTAGAAAAATTGTAATAATATTATAGGTAATAAGTACACATATTAATTATTACCCACAATTTACAAACAAACATGTATTGAAACATTTTTAGCATAAAAACTAAAAAAAATCCCTATTGTACCTTTATGTCTAAATAAATAGCTCAGAGTCAAAATATTTGGAAAAAGTTATCATGTATAGAAAATGATAAAATAAATATTTTTATTCTTTTTTAAATATAACAAAATATCAAAAATTGTCCGAAGGGAAATAGTTATTTTACGGGTCAATACAAAAATAGTTTTAATCATCAAAACTCACAACACCTACATGGCTATATTTCATATGAATAAAAATAAAAAACCAAGCATCTGAAAATATGGACTTGCATTTTATAAATTTAAATTGGGGTAGCATAATTATTTTTTAAATTCACTTTATTCAAACGATCAAACAAGCAAAAATAAAATCACATTTCTATACAATAATAATATGATCAACATCGAAATATTCACATGTTGTTTTTTGAAATATATTTTTTATACGTTTTCTTAAGTTACAAAACCAAAAATAAAAAGTACAAAAATATGGTAAATTAAAAAAAGTTGTACAGTCGTATTAATTATGACATAGGTACTGGAATTAAATTAGGTTTGTTAATAAATTATAATTTATAATAGATGAAACGTATATTATACTGTTAATATCAACTTAATTTTATTTGTAATTTGTATATTGTATAACTAAAAAGGCATTATACACTCATTTTAAACAATATTATTAATGTTTCATTATAATGGAGGAGGGGGAAGGGTTGGTGTTGAAAATAACAAAATCAAACAAGTAAGAATTGATTCATGAGTTTTCAAGTTTTACATTTTAATAATATAATGGATTTAAATTAAAATTAATCTCACTGGTTACTGTTTAGTGTTTATTAAAATTAAGAATCCCTTAACAACAATGTATTTTTGACTTGTAGGTTTCAGCAAACTGTTATTTAGTGTAATTTCTGCTTATGCATAATATGGTAAGACTCTCCTAGGTTCCTTACTTAGAATAAAATGTGATCAACAATTTTCAAATACTATTTCATCAAGCAAAAATTCAGTGTAAAGTTAATATTTCTAGACTTATTAGTTATCATCAAGTGATTAAGATTAAAAATATCATAAGATGATAAAAAAAAATTAAACATATTTTTTCCTATTTCAAAAGGTAAATTGGGTTTCAAACTGCTGAAAATGCAGTAATACAAATAGTAACAATTACATAATAAAAGACCTCTGTATTCTTTAAATATTAATATTTATTCACCAAGTCTTTAGAGCGAGCACCAAAAAAAAAAAATAATATGTTATGTTTTGATATAATATGGAATCTAGTACAAATATAAATCACGTATCAAAAAATGTGTTTTAACTAACTTTGGACAATAGAAAAAATATAAAGTAACTATCTAAAATACAATAACACAATAATGGGAAAATAAATTATTTTGTTCGTTTAATAGGAAAATATGTAAGAACTACAATATGTTAAATGAATATAATTTATGGACTCTCCAGAATGAAGTTGTTATGTTGTTGATAAAATTACAGGCACAATACTTAGTATACTGTCTATAAGTAATTTATAAATTGTATTGTCATAAAGGAACATGATTAAAAACAGATGAAAAAGAAATTACGGTTAATAATAAATCTATATACACGGTGGTTCACTAAAGGTGCTCAGCTTTTTCAAATATATTTTTAGTGCAATTTTTTAGAAACAATTTAATATAAGCATATTATGTCGTACTAAAATATTAAAATAAATAAGAAAGTAACCAATTGGCCATTATTTTAAATATAAACTTAGTGTGTTTAAAATAATATTATTTTTTTTTAACTTTAGATTTATGAAAAATATACTTTTCTATTATAAAAAACTGTAAAGAAAATATATAGAATGTAATTTTAATATTCAATAAATAAGTATTTTCTACATACATACTACATTAACGGTATCAAGAAAACACTCTATTACTAAGTAACTAATGCATATTTTTAAATTTGATTTGTTGAAAACAATACTAGATTACTGTGAAATTAATTTCCCATAATTATAATTTTTTTTTCACTCATGTATTTCGCAACATAACCTTTTTTTTTTTAATGAGAACTGTCAATTTTGGATTTAGAATACATGTTGATCAACAAACCTACTAAAATGTAACAAATGAAAATATGATATTAATAAATATGGGTTCTCATAAAAAAATAAATTTGTGTTGCGCATGTGCAGAATACATGAGATAAAAATAAGTGTCAGAGAAATTGATAGCACAGTAATCTAGTTATTTATTCTTTAAAATAAATTCTAAAATTTGCATATGGTAACTTTATAGTGTTCTCTGTTCATAGACACACGGTGTAGTGTGTATAAATAAACATGTACATATACAATTTTCATTCAACTAAAAATATTAAAAGGAAAATACAGGCACATATAATTTAGTGAACCATATTCATGTGTTTATACACATATACAAACACAAGCATAATACATAAACCTGTATAATATCAGTCCAAATGGACAAATTTTCTTTATAAAACTTAAAATATAACCACTATCTATGTACGTATACTAAATATAATAATAAACAATACAACATCATGATTATAAAAAAGAATGGTAGAAAATAAATATTATATTTTAATACACAGCAGGCAAATGATTGCAAAATGTTCGCCAAATATTTCAGGCAAGTAGCACACACGCGTATGCATGACCGGCCTTCAAGCCAGGCTCACAATATGGCGCAGCAACGACAATAATGTTGGCGACTATTGCCAGTAGACGGCGGTGGTGTCACAGGCGCAAAGTAGGCGTGTACGTTTATGTTAGGCGAGTGTGTCTAAATGAAACAATATAAGAATTAGTTATATATTACAAAGAAAAAATTAAATTAAACTTGCATATTATTTATAGTAAATTTAAAGGTTTATTTGTATTTAAGTTCCATCAATTGTATATTTTCAAAACCTTAGGAATTTTAATGAAGACTAGCTGTTAAAAATGCCAACTCTACATGATTCAAAGTTTGTTCAATTTATTATTTAACATTAGGTGTAATGCTGTCCAAATCTAAAAATACATGTAAAAGCACCACTTTAAATTCAAATTTTGGAAAATGCTTTCTTAGTGCACACTTAACGTTGATCATTCAGTGAGTCAGTCAAGACACGTTCGATTATATTATATTATAGCCATACCGCCAAGTGTTGCCGGTGAGACTCGCTTGCGATTATGCGAGCAGCTATCTATTAGTATACATTATAGGACTCAGTGAAGTGTGTACGTAAATGTATAATTTCTAACGCCAAAGTTACAAAACTACACAAAGTTTGACGTTTTTATTTAATCCAACCTACAGCGGATTGGATACAATGTGCCATCCAGTAAAGCTGTATAACCTATACTCCGTTCAAAATAAGAGGATGACCTGGCGGCGACCAGTTTTCGTTCCGTGACGGTCAGACGCTGTCCCGACGCCACGTCCATGCGCACTAATCGGCCACTGGGTCATCTTATTTTAAACAGAGTATAGCTTAAAAAAAAGTAATAATAAATACAAAATCCAGAGTTATATTGTTGTCTCTTGGTTAATAAGTAAGGATGTAATGTGTCAGAAATCTTGGCTGGAGTGTACTCAACAACTTCCTTATAATTCATCGAGATCGGACATACATTCACGTTTAGTTTAGACGATTTCTATACTAAATTACCAATTTTGAATTATTTATTTTAGCTTTACTTTAGGATTTTCCCTATTATTTTTCTTTTTAAACTACCCCTGATAAAAAGATAGGAAAGTAATTTTCACTTACCCGAAGACGTTTTATTCCATTTCTGGTAATGAGTTGACAGTCGTACAACATGATTCTTTGCAAGTTGTGACAATTAATTAGGTGTTCTAGAGATGCATCCGTAATAAGAGGACAGTTGTCCAATTCAAGCACAGCCAAATGTTCAGATGCACATGTTGAAGTACTCAGATGTCTGATGCCTTCGTCAGTGATTAGTTCACAATGTGATAAACTCTGTAATTGAAAATGTTAGTTTAAATTAAAATTAATTGAAGAAGAATTAACCATCAACAATATATACCAAATTCTCAAGCCGGGGGCATCCCATTGCTAAATGAAATAGAGTCGAGTCTGTAATAAATACACATTCTTCTAAATCCATTTTTTCCAAAAGATGACACGTCTATTAAAAATTATTGGTGATGTAAAATATTTACAAAATGTATAAAGTATTCATTATTACTTTTGATAATGCTAAAAATCCTATATCCGTAAACTGTGAACAACCAGCTACTTCTAAGGTATTTAACTGATAACATTGTTCAGCCAAGGAAACGAGACAGCTATCAGTTAATAAAGAACAGTTTGCAAGACATAAATATTTCAAAGAATTACAGTTATTGGCTAACTTTATCACAGCTTCGTCTTCAATGTTCTAAAGAAAATTCAATTCAATGATAATTGAGTCAAACGTAAATTGAACAATCCATTATATACTTACATTGCAGCCATGCAAATTTATAACTTCTAATTTTACACAATGTTGTGCTAAACAACTGATTGCTCGTGTTGTCATTCTTGTACAGCCTTTGGATATAAATGATTTCAACTTTGGACAACCGTGTGCTAAGGCTTCCACACCTTCAGAATAAATTACAAAATAAATTAAATAAGAAGAGAACAAAAGTAAAAGTATTTACCGTTTTCTGTAATACCATCACACCAAGATATATTAACGCTGGTCAAATTTGGGCAGCCATCAGAAATTGCTTTTAAAGATAAATCAGTCACCATAGAGCATGAACCAATGTCCAATGACAATAGTTTCTTACAATATTGACTTAAAGATTGACTAGTGCTGTAAAGACAAATGTTTAGTGAAACATCCTTATACAATATACAACTGTTTAGTTAATTTAATTTACCTATCTGTAATTCTCTTACATCCATTCAGATTTATATATTCAATATAATTACAACACTGAGCAAGAGTTTTCAGAGAGCCGTCCCCGACAGATTGACATCCACGCAAACTAATTTGCCGCAAGAAACCACCACACCGCCGTGATATATTTTCTATTACAGGACCCTAAAAATATATATTTTATAAACACTTATACGCTATACAACTACGCAAGTTATATTTACTTCAACATCAGTCTGAAATTCAAACAAGTCAATTTTTTGCCAGTTGCTTCCATCTAATGCTAATACATTCCAAGCACGAGACACTTGAGCACAACGGCATAATGACACAACATCTAGGTAAGAAAATATTCTGAAACATATAATTATACTATTAGTATTTTATTATGTACACGCAACAAATAATAAATTGAAATTGTACCGTAGTAAAAGCTCTTTTGGTAATTTTTTATTTATTTGAGCGTCTTCATCCAAACATGTTTTGGACAACTGATAACATGATAAAAAAATACAGACGTGAAACGGATGCAATAATATTAAAATATTGTTTGAGTATTAGATTTTAATAATATTATGTAAGTACCTGAACATAACTATGTTTCATATTTGAAACAGATGAACTATTATGATGTTGCATACTCGACGGCACATCTCTTGTAAGCGTTTCCATGGCCGTAAATTGTCAAGGATCAATCTGCTATCAATAAACACACAGAGAGAAACAAATTAATGTAGGCATATGCACTCCAAAAATAAAAAACATTTGAACTTGAAAATAAATTTTTTTTAGACATTATACCTAACTAGGTAGGATAGTAATAATAATAATAATAATAATAATAATAATAATAATATTAAATCAATAGTAATATAAGTACTTATCTAATGCACTCAGTGGCTTATCAAAATTCAAGAATTCAATTAACATAAAATAAAAGTATAAAACGTAATGAGATATTTAAAAATAAATGCAATCATATAGTAAAATTATTTAATAAATTGACCTTAACCAGTCGCACACACTTACACACGCTATTGAGATAATAATATAATAATAATTGTGCAGATTATAAAATATATGAACAATGTTGGGTACCTACTTGTGTTTTTTTTTTTCGAGTACACAAATAAAATAATAATGAACATATTATTATTATTATACAGTTTTATTATGAACTATTGCTGTCGAACAGAATACTGATTACTAACTGACCTTAGTACCCTATATAGAACTGTTGATATTATTATGCTATAAGGTAAATACTAAGTGCTGAAAATTAGATAGCAAATTGTTGTTTAAAACAATGAAAGAGTGATACGAACATTGTTATGTATATTGCGTAGGCACCTATGCACCAATAATACGTATTAATCTACTCAACTGCTTTGAAACACTAAAATAATAACTAATAAATTATTGTAAACACACTTAAGTCATTGATAAGTGATAACAATCGAGACGGCAATTAACTGTTCATAACTACGTTTTAATGTAGTTCCAATGGTTTGTTTATAATGAGTATTAGCAAAAAAGACAACAAAGTGCAACAATTAATTTGTACACAAAATATCGAAAATTCAAAGCCACTATTGTATTGTTTCATTAGAGTCCATTAGTACCGTCTATATTGTAATCTGTTCGCTCTATTAATAATAATCATAATAAATAAATAAATTATTTAGCAGTATTGGAATTTACAGGAATGGGTCAAGTATATTAGTATTGTACGTCTAACACTTAGGATAAAATCCTTGTTTTGATAGACGAGTATCTAATAGTAAATAAAGGTAGGTACCTAATTATACGTTAAATAATTGTGTCTACCTATACGTTGTTTAATATTCTGTCCTTAGTCACCAGTCAAAGTTTTTCTGAAGGATCGATCAATAAAAAGTTGTAATTAACTTTTATAATTTTTACCTAACTCGTTACAATATAACTCAAACATAACGAAGTACCTATTTAATATACAAATTTTTTTTGTGTACTTCCCCTTCTTTGTTAATATAATTTATTCCAAGATGTATGTGACCGAAATTAAATTCAGTACTTAAGCCATGAAATAATGTCAAAGTGTACCTAACGTATAAATAGTATTTCATATTTTATTTTTATTCTACTGAAGTAGGTTTTGCATCTATGATCATTTATTTAAGGCACAATGGCGAATTCAGGTGATAAACAATCATAATAATATGTAAATTCCTAGATCAACTGTGGATGAAAAAAATTCATGTTACAGAACACCTAACAATAAGTATATTTTAATTCATAACTATGTTTACTAAAACGTTTATCGATATTATACAAGATAGCTGGTTTACTAGCACGATTAGGTAGTAACCGAAAAAGATCGTTGTACATGTACGGATCCAACCTGACCAAAGGAATTAAAGAATAAAAAAAAAATAATGCGAGATTGATCAACCTATAAATTGGACAAACTATAATATTGTACAAGAGTCGAAGAAGAATATTGAACCTTAAAATGGGTACATCAAAAGATATCCAGAGGACCTGAGTAGGTACTAGAGTATTGTTGAATATTGTCGACCTTACTAAATAGTTCGACAAATTTAATAACATCCTTGCGCCTATGGACATAATGAAGGGGTCCGGACACATGTAACGCACATGCTGCTGGGATATGGACAACCGACTACCGACATTCATTCTAGCTTACACAGTCGCATCGAAACTTGTCAAGTCACCAACTGAAGTGTGTACTCTACGTCTCGTCAAACGCCGTCTCTGATCACTTGTTGACCTCTACACGGCTACCACATATTGACATTTGGCCATGATTTGGGCCACCTTTGCCCCAAATTCCTTATGTAATTTCTATATTTAACTCAACTACTAGGTCTATTCATTTATATCGACCAACCGACACTCGAGTGCCTAACCTATACCCACCTATTGCGTATTTATGAATAATAATTATTATAATGTTGCCTAACGGGATTATTAATTACAGTGATAATTAATCTTATGTCGATTATTACTAATTACCGGTCACATTCACTGTCGTCGACGTTCAGCCGATCGTGTGCGACATCGGAACGACGGTCGTTGAGAATTCGTCGCACAGCCTTCGACTATCGTCGTCGTTGTCCTCTTCAGTTCTTACGTACTCTCCCACGCGACGATGGAACGCGACAAAAACCATTGTCCGGGTCGTCGCCGTCGCCGTCCCGTCGCTATCGTCGTCGTCGCGGCGAGGCTATCGCGTATTCGCGTCGTACCGCCTCCTTTACCGCCGCCGTGGTCGTAGATTTTCCCACCGCCTTCGGTGTTTGTTTCCCACTGCCGAACAGGTCATTCCGAATTGTTTACACGTATCGACGTGCACATGATACAAACCGTGTTGTAGGTAATGTTTTATTGTATGAGCATCGCAGCCACAATACAATATAATATTATATAAAAATGTGTTTATTAGTATTGTAAACCCGATACGCACCGAACAAAGGACGACGATATTTTACCTAACTATGCGACGTATAATAGGTACGACGTTAAAAACAATAATATTGATAATAATCAGCTTAATTGTGCACGGTCACAATAATATTAAAAAATGCGATACGATAATAATGTTAATTTGTATATTATTATAAGTTATAACATAACAACATACATTAAAACGAGCGCACAATGTATTATTGCTGGTACGCTCGGCGGATCGACTCACGACCGAACTAGTAACTACAACTGAGTACTAAAGCAGTAAAGCGATAATAATAATTACCAACTATTAAGTCATAACAACAAAGCAGTAATAATAATAATAATAATAATATTATGTTACTGCCGCTTCACACTTCTCAGAGATATTACGAGTACGGGCTGATACGACGAACGGTATGAACCGACGAGTGACGAAACTCGACGAGTACTCAAGTACACTCGACCGACGACTGGTCTTATCTTTATTATAACACCTATGTATGTACTTTGTAATATGTGACTATATTTGTGACTGTCGGTTACTCAACGGTCAAGTGTCAAGACACTCAAGTCAGTCAAGTGGTGTCGGTGTAGTAATCCGGTAATCGTCATTTTGTCATTTGTCAGAAGAAGACAAAGTCGATCAGCTGTTGTGTGCAGCTGATAATATCGGCGGCGGATTGGATCGCGGATACGCGGACCGTGGCCCATGGGACAACAGTCCTAGACCAAGTCTCGTCCACATTGCACGGGCCACGGGTGTTCGCTCGGCTGTCTAAATTACGCTTCCGATAATAATTAATATTATTTAAAAACATAATAATATTATTTATTGATATCATAAAATTATTATTACACTTATATTAGATTCTGAGTGGAACGATGAATGTATTGATTTTACAATGATGTGTGTTTTTTTTTAAATTTTTTTTTTGCTGTGTACACGATAAGTAGTCGAAATAATGCTTTGATTTTCAACTTTAATATCTTGTTCGATTGGACAGTGAATATCGTTGGTGCTTTGGGGGGTCAAAAGTGAAAATTTTCCAGTAGTTTTCAAAAACGGCGTGAAAAACAAAATAAAAATTAAGGAAAAACTGAAATTCTTACACTAAAATCAGTTTTCGAAAAAATCGATTTTGGTTTTTGGCGCAACTCTTAAACAAATGACCGTAGGTACATGCAATTTTGACTGAATGTTTGTATTAGCATTTTCTATGCACGATAACATTTTCAAAATGTTTTGATTTATTTTGAACTATTTAAGCACATTTTCATTTTCCATTTTTTTTTCTCAAAATATCAATAACATTTTATTTGTTGGTTAAAAAAGCTTGACAATTTAATACAAGGCCCCTACTATATTGTTACAATGGCATTTGAAAAATATTAAAAATCCTTAGTCACAGTTTTTTTTTATAAGCATTTAAAGTTAAAAATTGTTGTAATTCAGAAACGAATAATTGTAGATACATAAAAATTTCACTGTTACTAAAAAATTTAAAAAATCCATAATCACAGTTTTTTTTTAGTCATTTTAAGTTTAACTTTGGACAAAATTACATAAAAAAAAATCTAGAATAACTATTTTAGTTATTTTGTTGTGATTGTGTAATATTATTCGTGGGTACTTGAACCTTCTCAAGTACACTATTCTATGGAGTATGGCCTATGATAGTATCAGGGTTTTTTGTTGACGTATAACGCATTATAAGTACCTAATAGATATTGTGATATGATTAATTTGGAATTTATTATAGGTACCTATTTTAGGTAATTTTTTTTAATACAATAGATAAGTAGGTATATAATATGTCTTATACCTAGACTGACATACCGTCTCCGCTCAGAATCGTTTTTCTTATACAATGATATTATATCATTGAATTCAAATTTAATACTATCCATTATACAGTGACCCACTTGAATTGGCGTGCCCAGGAAATTTCAATGAGGGGGGGATATATGTTATACATTTTTTAGTAAAAGTACATTTAAATTAATCATGGTTATCCAAACACAATAATTGCCAAACATATGTACATTCATGCATATTGAGTATCGTTCTACAATTAGAATTAATTTAAATAGCCACACACTATACACTATTGTTTAATTAAAATGTATATATAATTATATAAATATATTTTAAAACATTTTAAAAATTGTTGAGTAATTAATGTTAAAGCTAATGTATAAAATACTTTCCTAAAATTTAA